TCACTTATACGGATCGTCAGGTTCAACTTTCTATTGTTCTATGTAAAATGTTTCTTCATTAAAGGCCTTGGATAATATTTTATTCACAGACAATTGTATGAAAGAAATATAAGCCGTATTTTATTTTTATTCTTGTTATTCTACTTTGTAAATTTTGAAAGATAATTTCTAGTTTGGCTATGCAACTTGATAACAGGCCACACGCAAATCGGAATTTAACGATAAAACTGTAATCTTCTATGTATTGTTTTATATTTAATTCTTTTGAAGTTGAATTAATTTCACACGATATTTCTCATACTTCTAGTCTACATTTATTAAATACTTATAACTAATGCGATCAGACACGTCATCGTCTGGTGAATGGCTGCTGAGCTTATCCGAGAAACTATTAATTCTGAGAAATATTTGAATCCATCTGCATTGGCACACATGGTTTAGTTTATTTTGTTTTACGGCATATCAACACCTCAATGGGTTGTTTAAAGTCGAATAAAATCTTTAATGCTGATACTTTTTTCCCAAAAATTGTATTGTTCGTAATTTTTCAAAAAATATATTGCTGGTAATAATATTTTTTATTCAAAAATGTATTGCTGATAATATTTTTTCAAAAAAAATATTGCGGGTATTAAAACCTATTTTTATACTTTCATAGTGTGTTGACAACTTTTGGGGTTGTTAACTATTTACCCATAGCTGGGACCCTAAGAGGTGCTACCAACCGGTGTCAGGGTGGACCTGGGAACACCAGCAATTAAGAGGGGGTTCCACGCTCCTCGAAACCTCCTTGCTGTCAGATGTAGTTTATCGTCATACCCAGGACGTGATGCTCATGTAGTCTTGTCAGGATAAGAACAATTATAAAAATAATTGTCAAAATTAAAAGAAACTGTTTGTAAGAAAAGGAGATCACAACTGAGAAATTTTGTTCTTTTAGATTCCTTTTTAAATTGTCTCAAATTATATTAAAGACTTTTAAATCGCTTATTTAGAATTTATATTTCCGTTTCCTTGACTCATTCATATGAAGAAACCTAACCTAGTTCAGCACACTGATATCTGTGCAAGAAATATACCCACTACGAAGATAGTGAGTGAGATTACTACTACGATTTCTGCATATTGGATTGGGTTTTACACGTGACAATTAAACTCATATCTTCAAACATTTCGTAAATGCAGTTAAGCATTAATTTTAATGATAAGCAATTCTAATAATGAGTTCCCTTATGACATGCCACTTTTAACGTAATCTATTTCGATGAGCTTTCCATTCTTCAGTCTTTGATTTTCTGTCAAGTAGTATAGTTACCCTGTAAATTCTCTTACGGAACTATTCTTCAATACAGGTAGGCATGTTACAGGCCTGTAATTATTTGTAATTTTTCTCCATAGGTCATCATTTGAGAACAAAATATATCTTTTCTGTTTTATCAACTAGAAGATCCTTGTACTCATCAGGCAACTGTCAAGAAACTGTCATATTTTAGGATTTGTTTTTCTGTAATTGAAATGGAAACTCGTCAATAAGAAAATAAGGATTATATCTTCGCTTCCAGATATTTTTCGTTTTCATTTTACCTTTGCATTCGTAAATGATTATATTTCGATTCAATCTAAATCGTTTCAATTATTACACCTTTCTACTCACTTCTTTCTATATTTTGATAATATATTCGGAAATATGTATTTTCTCTCTAAGTTTCAATTATATGCCAGTCTGAATTTCACTTTCATTAATTGTTCAAAGGGTTAAGTGCCGAACTTTTAAAGAGAGAATTTTGTCATAAAATTTTAAGTCGCATAACGTCAGGGTTTTTAACCACCTTCTGTTTATTTCGTATTGTTCTAGGCCATGAATAATAACAATTATTATTGGCCTTTTTCATTTTAAAATTTCATATAACTGCATCTTAGAGCTCTGCGATATTAATTTAAAGCTTTCTACCTTTACTACTTCCAGTAAATCATCCTGTTTATGGAAAGAATTCTTTGGTACACACGCCGGACCTTAGGGAAAAATTTAGGGGAAATCTTCCAATGGCCAGGGAATATGCTCTTGAGTACCCGGAAGATTCTTTCATATGTTTTCGACACTTTTTATTACACTCTGTTAGCTATCGGTTTTCTTTTATCGCTCCTCTTTACCTAAAGATTGTAACATATTAGACAAAATATATGGCAGAACGGAAATGGCTCCTTTTTTACATTCAACTGTGAGAATCACTGTATTTGATAAATTTAATTCACATTAAGTGAAACTGTTTCATTCTCATACTACTAATATTGCCGGTATTCAGTCTTTAAATTTTTCTGTTGATCAATCTGTCAAATAGTTGACTTCCTTCATCGCTTCCTTTATTATTCTGACCAAGATGTCTGCTTGATCGATCATCGTGCTTTGCAGTGCTGAGCTCTTGTTAATTCAGACCACGCTAAAGTACCTACTGATAATCCCTTTGACTCGTCTATTAGACACAAGTTCCTTAGTACCATGACTTATTTGTGCTTCCAAAGTACTTATGGGAATTCATTTTGAAATTTTTTTTCGTGATGGCCCTTGGAATGAAATCTTTAGACCTCAGTCTGAAAATAGTACCTCTGAAGTTCCTTCTTTAGTTGAAGTCGGCATTGAGAATTTTGTTACTTCTCATAAAGACCAGATAATATCACAATTTTCTCCATAGTCCACATCTGTCTGTTCAGCCGCTATAGCTAACAGAAATAACTTTCTCAGGCTATACCAAAGTAATGCCTTTGTTTCAGTAATAAGTGTAAACGAGTCCTCAAAGAGACTAAGTTGTTGTTCATTGATAGGTCGAGTCACCATATAGTCTCTTGAAAGCTTGGTTCTCGTGATTACGAGCGGTTCTTTAAGGATGTCTTAAATAAGTGTAATTCTTCAGTCCCTCTTCTCAATTTGAAATGCTATGATTTTTTACCGATAATGCTGAATTTTTCATTTACACCTCAGTCTCCCCTGTGTGATACACATATAATTCCGCCCATATTTTCCGCTATCATCTTGGTCCCCACAAAACATGATGACTCAATCGTATGACTGCAGTCATCCTAAGAAATGTGCCACTGAACTGGCCCCTCTCGTTTCCAGGCTTTACAATAGATAACATACTCTTCTTGCTTTCCAGATCATTCGAAATCCACTTCTGTAGTTAACGTTTTTAAGAATTCTGTCAAACCGTCTGACCCTTTAAACTATCTTCCTATTAGGCTTCCGCCTCTAATTTAGAAAAGTGATAGAAGGTCTAATTAATTCCAAATTGATTAAGCATCTCACCTAGCAGGGTTTTCAGACAACCAATATAGCTCTCGCGACATCGCTGGTTACAAATAACAATTTCAACTATGAAACTATAAGAGCTGGCAGCTAATCTCTTGCTAGTTATAGAGGTTATATGCTAATTGTTTCTTCTCTCGCTCTTCTCACTTATGGAACTCTCTTCCGGCTTCCTGCTTTCCTATCTAATACGATCATCAAAAGTTTAAATGAAATGTCAATCATCATTATCTGTTTCTTTGATTCTTATTTGTTTATTGTTCTCTCTTGTTCTTTCATTCACAGTAAACGCTAACATCCTAATCGATTTGATTAGGATGAAATGTTTAACAAATAACAGTTCTATATTCCACCCCCAACTCCTAATGTTTCGCTAATTCACACGCATTTAATGCAAACCCCTGTGGCCAACGCTGCACCAATATGTGCGAGCGTGATAAAAAAAATGTTGTACAGATTTGGTCATTCTCTGATACATCGCAGATAAGAATGTAAGAACAGATTAGGTGAGGTGGGGGTGTCTCATAACAAACACATACTTCCGTTATTTAGTGAGTCGTCTGGGTTTTCAATGATAAAAAAAAATAGGCGTTTTTATTCATCCGCTTAATTCATATTTTTATACACAAAGACTTTCTGAAAGGGTCATTTAAATATTTGCAAGACTTTCTTATTATTTAACTAGCAGTAAACCCCGGAGTTACCCGGGAGTAAATTTCCTCTGAATGGAAGGTCATAACCGCCATACTCATTTTGTACCCGCATGTAAGGCTGAAGTCTAGTAGAACTGATGGCCGCCCACGTAAAAAACGTAATGTACACATGTTATCGGTATTCATCAGCACAACGGAAGAAAAAATTGTAAGGCTTAAAAGGAAGCAATGGACAGCCATGGTAGCATCAGCCATTTGCCATTACTAAGACACCTCCAATTAAAAGTTGTCAAGTTCAATATGAACACGGGTCTTAGGAAGTTTTTGGTGAGTTGTAGCAGATGGCTTTGTATTCCGATGGGATGTTTAACGTAGTAAAACGCAATAGCGTGAAAGGTAGACGCGTCTTTTGCCCAAAAGACGGCGCTGCCACTACCGCAAACAGAATCACATAACAGAAGTATGGGAAGGTGCCGGGGCGAGTACTTGTAAGTGGCACAAATTGTTTTGTAGTTTTTAATAGCCAGTTGAGGCGAGCATGAAGTGCACGTGATGTTACCTAAAGCAGCCCTTATGGTAAGGGGAGAAACACATCAACGGTGTACGGCAGAGAATGCAGATTATAACTCTGCATGCTGCTATTCTTTTATTATCCCACTTCTTTTTGCTGAAGCCTGAATTGCGTGGATGCACTCGACTTCTTTGACAAACGAATCCACCTTCCCACGTATTGGTTTTGTGTTGCAACTGAATATGGTTACCTGGTCGACATGTAAGTGCGAATGCAGCTATGGTGGGGTTGTCTTAGTAATGGCAAGTGGATACTACGACAAACTTTAAATAAACCGGGTTAAAAAAAAAAAATGAAGAATCCTACGATGCAGCTGACATAAAAATGTGTACATTGCGTTTAAATGTGACCGACCATGGGCTATAGGACTTCTGCGTAGGTAATAACTTTGTTTGTTGGAGAGTAAACGTAAACATTATCCTTACTCCCAACTCGGGAACAGCCTACGTAAAGCTGTCCATGGGCGAAACACTGTTCACCTAAATGCAGCCCCGAGACGCTGAGCGTCTGTCCTAGCGATTTGGCCATTGTTGTTGCTTTCTGATGTTCTGGCGGGCGCAGTAGACCTGGGATTCCACAAACGAAGATTAGCAGTCTGCACAGGATTTTCTAAAGCTCTGGCAGACGCAGTAGCGCTGGCATTTTTTAAACGACGAATAGCGGTTTGTTGAGGTTTTTCCGAAACCCTGGAAGACGCTCTAGCCCTAGCATTCCTAAGACGACGCGAAGTGTTTTGCTCTGCGCTTTCTAAAGCTCTAGAACATGCTGTAGCGCTGGCATTCCTTAAACGCCGAAGGATTGTCTGTGTTGGGGACTCGGAAGCCCTGGACCTAGAAACGCGTATTGCGTCCTGTGAATTCTGTACTAAACGCTCTTCAATTGAAAGTCTGGCGCGTCGTGATGACATAACTGATGCTACTGATGCCAGCCTTTCAGTTCGTTCAGCGGTACTTTCCGTCGAGATGCGGGCAGCAGAGCGTGAGGCCATCTGAGAAAGGCGCAACGAAATTTGCTCTGTGGTTTCACTTGCCTTTGCTGCTCTTGTAACGGAGGCAGCAGCCGTGCGCCGTCCAAAAAGTTTTCTTCTCTTAGGCGGCATTTTAACCAATTTTAAAAAGGCAAACGCAATAAAAGGTATGTAGGTTTTTTGAGTGCAAAAAATACGTGTAGTCTAAACGTAGGCAGGTTAGAGGGATCCCAAAAATGTATGTAACTGTATCAAAAGGAGATCGAAGACAAAAAAGTGAAATTTAAAAAACTCAACTAAATCTAAAACGTTAGTAGGTAATTTGGGAAGTAAAATCGATAAACGCGGAAACGGATGTAGTTATAACCAAGAAGTAAAAAAACAGTTTGGATACGTAATCAACAACTTGCAGTTTCCGTAAGAAGCGAATGAGGTGAGCCATGTGCGGGACAGTAATCGCAGAAGTGTGAACACGGGTGCAAGTTATGTTATAAGGAGGCGGTTGGCCGGTTGACCTTGAGCGCACAAACTAAGGTGACGTACGTACGCACGTGCACATGCGTGGGTAAGAGTACTGCTCGAACGTATGATTCGATGGGCCCATGGTTAAACGCTTGCAACCGTGCCAATGAGCTCGCAGCAAACTTAAACAGTTGACGCGATTGGTTAACCTCCAGCTGGGTTAGTCAAAGCAGTGCACAGTGACGGATGACGTTTCAAAATAGTATCTGGCGACTTTATTGTATCGGGTTTTTTATTGATAAATATGAAAGTTATGTAGTTTCTTATCCCAAAATAGGCGTTGCCTTTTTGATTTACGTCGTCACCGATGTAGCGCAATCTCTCAAAGTCAGTCGACAAGAAAATGGCCAGGAGATATGAGGTAGTTTTATTGAAAAAGTTGAAAATACAGGCGTTTTTACACTTCTTACGAACGAAATTTGAAGCAATGTTAATTTCGTTTGCTGATGGATGATGAAGGCATTTAAGTAGCACGAATTTAGATGAAACCACGCGAGAACTTTTGGGGCCAGCGATGCGCAGTAGTAAAATTATAGCGAGTAAGTGCCTTTTGCCACACGTAAACGGTATGAAAAGACATAACTGCCCCCCTCCCCGGTGTCTCCTCGAATGAAAAAATGCAATCAAATATGAAAAATTGGACAAATTGGATAATGGGGGGGGGGAGCCGATTCTGTCCACTTGGCTTAAAAGTGGTGGCATGAAATGTGTCAGTGATTGCTCACTGAATTCAATCCTATGCCTTTAGCAGGCTATATGAGCTAAACCCCCTAAAAACAGCAGTTTCACCTTGTTTTTACTGATTTCTCTGGTAAAATTTGACATGTAGCTATGTAAATCTCTTTTAAAATGGCCTTGATGTTTGCTTTACTGTGCTAATGGAAAGTAATGCATGCCTGCATTGAAACATTAAAATATCCTTTTTAAAAACCATTGTATGAGTGTTAAATCCTGAAATAAAAGTAGGCTACCTGAAACCTCTACCCCATTTGGGATGCTTGCTGCGCGCACGCGTAACACCACCACCCCCCTTCACAGATGATCTCGCATGACCCCGAAGTGTGAATAGGCCAATCAGCAGCAAGCATTACGCATCGTGTGAGCCACGCGTGACTAATAACACTAATCCGATTGGCTTTTGGAGCGCAAAGTTCGTCTGCGACAGAAATTCTTCATTGTGATAACTTTTGTATCCGAAACCAAAATATGGCCATTCTTGTCCTTTTCTTCTACTTTGACTTAACCACTTTTTAAAAGTAACTCATATTTTGATACAATTGTTGTCAGTGAAATATAAACACTTAAATTCGACTTTTTCCTAATTATGCTACCGCCATTAATTCTGACATGAAAAGTGCCCATATCTGCTTGTGTGCAGTGAACGCACATAATTACACACGCGTGCGTCCGATCAAAAATGAAAAATCGATAATATTGATTTAAATACTGACTTAAATCAATTTTTGGCGCGGTCAAAACCTCCGCAGGGCCATTAGCAGTAACTGTGTCAAATTCGGTTGAAATCGGTTGAAAAATGAAGGAGATCCGATCAAACATATAAACGAACACACACACACATTTTGCCTCTTGTGTGTGTGTGTGTGTGTGTGTGTGTGTGTGTGTGTGTGTGTGTGTGTGTGTGTGTAGACAGAGAGATAGATATTCCTTTTTATGAGAAGGCAGATTTAAAAAATCAACATTGCTGGGGTTTGATGTGGTACCGATACCAGGAATTAGATCAATAGCTTTTATCAATTTTTGAGCATTTGGTTTGAAAATTGCCTGAAAAGATTTACAACTATACCTAATTTCTGCAGGTTTTTTCTTACGAACTGACTTCCAACTTTTAATATCTCAACAATAAATCCAAATAAATTTGATATTTTTTGCATCAGATATATTGAATGAAAAATATATTTAAACCAGAATTCTAATTATGAATCACGATATTTTTATTGTCCCGATAATCAAAATTTTGTAAAAATTATAAAAGATTACAAAAAAAACGCTAATCAATGATTAAGATATTAACAATATGATAGGTCATAACCGACGTTGCTTGGAAGAAATAACTTTATCTTTGGTTTCATTGTTATGTTGAAATTAAATAGCACGTTGATTTATTGTCCTGATAATCAATCTGAGGCCATTACAAAGACTTAGACTTCTCAAGAATATAACTGGATGTCTCACTTTTTACAAATGAGGGCATGGATATTTTTTGAAAATTTAAATTTAGTAAATTATTTCTTAATAATAAAAACATTTTTTAAATTATAAATAATTTTTAGAAAATTAAATTAAATAGTTTTGTAACATTTTTTCCCACCCCAGCTTTTTTAAAACGATTTTGCTAATTTGTTAGTTTTTGCATTGATTTTTAAAATTTAATATCTAAACTTTAAAAAAATATTTATCTCAATTAAATGGTAAAACAGAGTTTTTATGTTATATTAATGTAGTAAACTGAACTCACTCAAATATTTCCACAGGAATTTTTTTTTTAAATCAGAAAATAATTATTAGATGAGCATTCCACTATATAATAAAATAATTATGAAGAAATCTAGTTTTAAGGTGTGCTATATTTATGGGATTGCTCAGTATCAGAGATAGAGCGTGTGTAAATATAAAAGTGAGCATTGAAGTCAACATTCAGAGTAGACAGGCTGACGATTGCGTCTAGGATGAAACAGCCTGTCGCCTCTGGGTGTTGACTTCAATGTTCACTTTAATAAAATAATTATATTGTGTATCAAATTAACACCAGTATTATAAATATGATTTTAATATTTCCTTCTGTTCAAGCCACACCCAGAATATATTATCAGCATATTTTAAAATTATATGCAAACAGGATGAATGAAATATTTACTTACCATCCCTACAACATAAACATAAAAACAAAATGTGTGTATTTAAAGTTAACCTGTTAATAAAAATACGTTATTCAAAATTTTCCGATTAAAAATATCGAAAAAGTGGTTTATATGCTCATGGAATTGTAAAGCTACTGAAAATTCTACGAGGATTTATTCTGTTATGTTTTTACAATTTTTGTTTCGAATATTTGAATAAATAAATATTAAACTTTTTTCAATAATTGTATTTAATATTATTCTTCTTTTAAATTTACTTTGGTTGTTTTCATATTCATTTTTTTTTAAATTACGCTTTTATTTACTATAGATATAGAAATAAGTTCAGGAGAATAGAAATTTTAAAAAACATAGCATTTCAAAATTATCAGCAGAATTAAAAAGTAAAAACGAACGGGAATAATAATTATTGCCGTTCGTTTAAAATTTCAGGTTTTTAAAAATGCATTACATGTTTTAATTTTAAAAATGAGTGCATTACAAAAAAATGCATTACATAGTTTTAATTTTAAAATATATTCTATATATAGAATTAAATTAAAGTCCCTAGTCCTGTTTCATTTTCAAGCGAATTTTGGAATAAAATTTGTTTAAATGTACTGAGTTTTATAAGCACATACATTCTTAATATTAGTTTCTAAGGATACAGAGAAATTCAAACATTTTATCAAGGGGTAGTAGGGTATGCATTTTCACTGACAACTATTGTATCAAAATATGAGTTACTTTTTAAAAGAAGTTAAGTTAAGGTAGAGTAGGGGTGACTTTTTCAACGAGTGATCACATCCGTTCAACTCATAACGTCTGGTATTTATAAACGACAAAAATGTTTTTCGCACTTATGTTTCGCCGTTAAATTTGTACTTGTATATATAAAGATTTTTTCTAAAAGGGTTGTTTTTATTGTGGTTAATTATTGTAGTTTTTTAGTTTTAACAGGACACACAAATACATACAAGCAACTGCCCTTTATATATGTACAGATAAATTACATTATAATATCTCTAAATTGTTCAGTATAATTTCCCATTGAAGGAAAGGAAGGTCTTATTTGATGACACACTGTTCCTTGCTTCTTGCCTCTATACAATTTGTGAAGCTTCAGTAGTTCATTTAACTGCTCTTATCGCAGTTTGCAGTGTACAGGTAAATTCGGCAACTCCAATGTTGTTCCATTCATTAAAATCTTTTACAGTTCATTAACTGAAAAACCTTCTGCAAACGCAGGTTAGCAACCTCAGTTTTATGCATGGTTAATCAAATTTGGCTAGTATGTCGCTTCAGAGCTGAATGTAATTCTTTTAATCTCTTCGCTAGTTGCTCGCTACTTCTGAAACAAAATAATATTTTCGTGTTGTAATTTTTTTAATGCAACATTGTGTAAAATACACAATGTTGTACTAAAACAGTCGACTGTTAATTTATTCTTTGGATCATCCTGAAAATTGTTGGTTACGGAATTTATAATTCCTTTATTTTCAAACCAAATAACTACTTGTATTTCAATGATAAATTCTATAAAACTATACAAATTACCATAGAGTTCTGGTGTAAATTTTTAATACAACATTCGGTATTTCAGTAAACTGTTAATTTATTCTTTAGATCTTGTTGATAGATAACCTCTGGTCTATAAGCACATTAACCTCCATCTTTCTTGATTTTAACTCTAAAGGTAGCAAATCTAGGGCTCACTTTTTCCCTCGAAAAATTACTGCTGCATAAGTGCAG